GACAGAAGAAAGAAGAAGGAAGAGAGAAGACAGAAGAAAGAAGAAGGAAGAGAGAAGACAGAAGAAAGAAGAAGGAAGAGGGAATACAGAAGAAGGAAGAGGGAAGACAGAAGAAAGAAGAAGGAAGAGAGAAGACAGAAGAAAGAAGAGGGAAGAGAGAAAACAGAAGATAGAGGAAAGAAGACAGAAGATAGAAGAAAGAAGAAGGAAGAGAGAAGACAGAAGAAAGAAGAGGGAAGAGAGAAAACAGAAGATAGAAGAAAGAAGACAGAAGACAGAAGAAAGAAGAAAGAAGAAGAAAGAAGAAGGAACGAGGGTTCGCGTTTACACCGAAGCACCTTGCACGTAACCGTTCACTGGCCTTATGCCATACAATAATATAGTTATAACAAATAGTACGTCACGCATTCAGAGCACGCATCACGCGTCGGGTAACCACCAGGTAACGATACTGCATAACTGTAGTGTGTGTATGAGCAATAAAGCTACCGGTTCCGTATATTTAAGATCTTGCGTTGTGTTTATTTGCCTCGATTTTGTTTGTCTCCTGCTGCCACGCAACACAGTCCCGCTTTGCCACCGGGAGCAAGAAATGATCCCGCAAAAACAATAGTGCATTCACACGCACATAATTCGCGTAGCGGCTACCCCTAGGGCACTACAGTACTATTTGTAAGGGCTGCGGCAAGCAGAATCACTGGGCCAAAATGTGTCGCTCGTCAAACAGAGGTCATCATGCCAAGCCGAAATACACCACTCGTGTCCACACGCTGACAGAGGCAGAAACCGCCACCAGCCGCGTGGACGACGAGGAGGAGCTTTACTTTCACACACTCAAGAAGCAGGCGGCCGAGAAGCGCGAGACCGTTACCCCTAGCAACAGTGACGACACACAGGCGTTCATCACACTCAGCACTGAATCCGACCATGCACAAAGAGACATATCGTACAAAATTGATACCGGCAGTGAAGGAAACGTGATATCTGCAGCAGTATATCGTTCATTACTGACTGGGAACACTGCCACTGATGGAGTACCCCCTGGCTTGCGCCCCACCCAAACCAAGCTGATCGCGTTTGGTGGACATACAGTTGAGCACTATGGTACATGCTCTCTCACATTGACACACCGTGAGCAGAGTGAATGCTGTACATTCCACGTGAGCAAAGATGACTGCCCCGCTATAGTAGGCCTGCCTGCGTGCAGAGCGCTGAAGCTAGTGACATTACACTATAACATAAACATCGCGGACGCTACAAGCACGCCAGCAGATGATGTGCACACCAACACTGTGACATCATCAGAGGCAACAAAGCCACGAGGTGACCCGGTCGCTCGAGAAAACACCCTGATCCAGTACAGTGATTGCTTTGAAGGCACAGGATGCTTCACGCAGCCACATCACATCACACTGGACCCGTCCGTACAACCAGTAGTACACTCACCCAGACGAGTACCCGTATCGCTACGCGCACAGCTCAAGGCAGAACTCGACAGCCTGGTGGAGCAAGACATCATCGCCAAAGTGGAGCGCCCGACAGTGTGGGTTAATTCTATCGTGGGCGTGACAAAACCCGACGGGACATTACGAATCTGTTTGGACCCCAAGGACCTGAATGAAGCCATCAAACGACCACATCACTACACACCAACGCTAGAGGAGATATTACCCAAGCTGGCCGGTGCACGATGGTTTTTTATACTCGATGCCACGAAAGCATATCACTCGGTGTCGCTCGATGATGAGTCATCATATCTCACCACATTTAACACGGTCTACGGCAGGTATAGGTACAGACGATGTTTTGGCCTTAAAGACGCCCAAGACGTGTTTCAACCCCAGATCGACGCTACATTCGGCGACATCAAAGGCATCACCGGAATCGCTGACGACCTCATCGTATACGGCTTCGATGAAAGCGGTAAGGAACACGACGATGCCCTACACGCCGCTCTACAACGCACACGTGAGTCCGGAGTAAAGTTTAACAAAAAGAAAATCGTGATTCGCGCACGGAGAATACCGTTCTTTGGCCACATCCTCGGTGCAGACGGACTGCAGCCTGACCTTGCCAAAGTAGCCGCAATCAGCGCCATGACAAGCCCGACGGACGTCAAGCAGATGCAAAGATTTCTAGGCATGGCCATGTATCTCAGCCAGTTTACAGCCAGACTAGCCACTATATCCGCCCCCTGCGCGATTTGTGTAAACAATCCAGTGAGTATATATGGCAGCCACAACATGAGAAAGCGTTCGGCGAAGTGAAACGAGAAATCACAGCCGCCACAAATCTGCAGTTCTATGACAAACGTAAGCCACTGACGCTACAGGTCGACGCCTCTCTCCGTGGCCTGGGAGCAGCCCTGATACAGGACAAGGGTGTAATTGCGTTCGCCAGCAAATCACTCACAGACACCGAGCAGCGGTATAGTAACATTGAGCGTGAGTCACTAGCCATCGTATTTGGTTTATAGCGTTTTCATCATTATGCGTTTAGCCGTCACGTGATCATACACACTGACCACAAGCCTCTGGTCAGCATCACAAAGAAGAGCATGGTCAACATACCGCCGCGGCTAGCACGCATGATGCTACGTGTCAAGGCATATGATGTCGACATTACTTACAAGCCAGGCCGAGACATTCCACTCGCGGATGCACTATCACGCGTTAACCCATGCAGAGGTGACGCTATCCGTGGCATGGATATCACTGTCCATGAACTTCACAGTCAACTCTCCGCATCTCCGCAGTGCCTGCAAGACATCAAGCGCGAAACACTGCTAGACCCAGAGCTATCTCAACTCTGCGATCTCATTGTGTGCGGATGGCCAGACAAACGCGCAGCCTTCCCGCCTCGTCTCCATGGCTACTGGAACTACAGGGACGAGCTTTCTGTTCATGATGGCATCATTATGAAAGGGCTACGTATCCTGATACCGCAAAGCCTGAGACCTGCACTACTAGAACAGATACACTACGCACACAGTGGTCGCGAGAAGTGTAAACTACGCGCACGTAATGCAGTATTTTGGCACGGGATAAATCGCGACATCGGCGGACTCGTTGCTAGTTGCAGTACGTGTCAAGCGCATCAGCCCGCCAACAAAGCTGAGTCATTATATCCGCATGATGTACCACCATACGCATGGCATACACTCGCCTCTGACATGTTCCACTGGGAACAGAAGGACTATTTATTGGTGGCTGACATGTTCAGCAAGTTTCCAGTCGTCCGCTGCCTACACTCTACAACATCTCGCTCGGTCAACAACCACCTAAAGGCAATCTTTGACGAGCACGGTGTGCCCGAGGAGATGCTGACAGACAACGGTCCTCAGTACACGGCAGCAGAATTTACCACGTTTGCCAAGCAGTACGGGTTTATCCACAAAACCAATTCACCGCAATTCCCTTCATCCAATGGATTTATTGAGCGTACTGTACAGACGGTAAAGAACGTTTTCACGAAGGCGAGAGAGAGTGGGAACGACCCTCATCTCGCCATGCTGTGCCTCAGAACAACACCTGTGGATCACAACACGCCATCACCGAGTGAGTTGCTCAACAACCGCCGATACCGCGCAAATCTTTCCACGATTCCGGTACACACCGATGGGCGTATCAACGAAACCCTACATCTTTGCCAGGACGTACAGAAGAGGTTCCACGACCGCCGCTACCCCCACACGCTCCCAGAGCTACGCACAGAGGAGATCGTACGAGTGACCCCATCACCAAGCGCTGGCAACCAGCCATAGTGGCTGCTGGCGACCGTAACCCGCGGTCATACATTGTCCACACCACCGGCGGAACATTCAGGCGAAATCGCCACCACATCAGGAAGACTGGCGAGACCTTCCACCGTCATGAACCGGATGACACGTCAACCGTCCCCGCACCCGACGACAGCGACGATACCCCCGGCGCCCCCGATGTGCCCACACCGGTTGCTGTAGAATCGGGCCTGCGTCGTTCAGCCAGGACAATCAAACCCCCACAGCGTTTGGACTTGTAACTGTGTTGATGTGATTGCACAACATATCTTGTACATTTCAAATGTATAGAATTTGTTCATCCTTTTTATGAAAAAAAGGAGATGTCATATTATCAGTATAATAATTAATACCTTGCAGTTATATTTCAGTATATTCATTTCTACGTGTGAAAGCGTTCTAAGTTTAACTTCTACGTGTGATTGCGTCATACGCAATACTGATTTTTTATTGGTTTACTTCTATTGTATGAATTGCCGGCAGCGCCGGGTTGCCGCCATGATGTTCTAACTGTTGAATAAAGCTTATCTTTTGAACTTTATACCTGGTTATTCGTGTACCACGACACAAGAAGAAAACAAACAAAAATCACGACAAAGGCCTAAAGACTGCGAATTTGGTAACCTACAGGATAATTTCATTAGAGATCGAATCGTGTGTGGAATCCTGAATAGAGAGGTACGAGAGCAACTGCTACAAGATTCTGAACTAACACTCAGAAAAGCTGTTGACAAATGCCGAGCTATAGAAGCCAGTGCCACACAACTCAAAAGTATTACGGAAAATTTCACCATATCTGCCATCACGTACAGCAGAGATCAGATGAGAAAGCAAGGTGAACAGTGGAAGTCTAAAAGCACAGCGTACAAACACCCAGGTAAAGATACCAAAAGAAATGACACTCCTTGTGGTAAATGTGGAAGACATCATATGCCGAGACAATGCCCTGCGTACGGTAAAGCATGTGCACTTTGCCACAAACAAACTTATTTCGCAAAGGTGTGCCGTTCCAAGCAACAACATGGTGTGTCGGAAATCAGTGCTCAAAAGGATGATCCATCGTATCAGTATCTATGTCTAGACGGGGTAACACTAGAAGCCAACGCACTTACGTCTGACTGGACACAAGCTGTCAGGGTGGACGATAGACATGACATTGATTTTACGCTCGATACAGCAGCACAAGCTAATGTCATTCCGATCAACACACTGCGTTCATTCTACACTGGTCCGCTGCAATCAACTAATGTGCGTCTAAAGAGCTACAGTCAGCACACAATTAAGCCAGAAGGCCAGGTGAATCTAAAATGTTCAGTTAACAAAAGATCTACAACCTCACATTCCAAGTCGTCAGTCTCGAAGTGTCACCGATCCTCGGGAAGGATGCATGCGTGGACTTAGGCTTACTGAGAAGACTTGAGGTAAACTCTGTTAACATAGCATCAAATTACCCTGATCTATGCAAAGGCCTAGGAAAGCTACCAGGTCAGTACTCGATCAAATTAAAACCGAATGCTACGCCAGTTGTACACCCACCACGCAGAATACCATACGTTATTCGCCATAGAGCCAAAGTTGAACTCGACCGCATGGAACAAATGGGCGTCATCGTCAAACAGCGAGAGCCTACACCATGGGTTAACTCGATGGTTACTGTACAGAAAGGAGACAAATTACGGATTTGCATTGATCCAACTGACTTAAATAAAGTCATAATGCGTGAACATCATCCGAAGTAACTGTAGAAGAAGTTGCTGCACAAATTGGCAACGCAACGAAGTTCACGAAATTGGACGCGCGTCACAGTTATTGACACATCGAGCTGGATGACGAGAGTTCTGAGATGTGTACCATGAACACCATATTCGGGAGATACAGTTTTCTCCGACTCCCATTCGGTTTGTGTAGCTCAGGAGATATCATGCAACGCGCCATGGAAAACATTCTAGAGGGGATTGATGGGGTGAAAGTGATCGTCGATAATACATTCATTTGGGGCAACTCCGATCAGCAACACGACAAACGAGTAAAGCGAGTTCTCGACCAAGTAAACAAGTCTGGCCTAAAACTCAACCCCGATAAAGTGGAAGTCGGTGACCATGAGAGTGACACGCTCACTCGTCATGGAGTGAAGCCGAATCCAGAACGCATGAGAGCAGTCGTAAACATGCCGCGACCAACAAGTGCGCAGATTCTTAGGTATGGTTACCTATGTAGCCAAGTTCATTCCTGATCTGTCAATCATATCTGCACCACTACGCGAACTGATCAAAGATGATGTCTACTTCACATGGAATAACGAACACACTACAAGGTTCGAGAAACTGATAAAGCTGATAACAAGCGCACCGGTTCTGAAGTACTACGATGTCACAAAGCCGATCACACTCCGTTAACTCTATAAGTTTCTGACGTCAAATTATAAGCTGCTAGTATAGCTGTCGTTACTAGCTCAAAGTCTCGTCTGACGTCATCTGCTAAGCGGAATATGCATTTCTGGGCTCGCCCCAATAGAAATGGCTCTAAAATAGCCGTCTACTGATCCCTAGGCTTATCTTGTGCAATACAAAGTCTCTCGAATGTCTGCAAGTAACAGTCAATGTCGTCCTCTTTTGTAAGTTTTCGCATGCCCACTAATTTATATACAGACGTACCCGACTCTCCATGTCTAGCGTCTGCTACCGTATTGCGATGCGCAAGTAACTCTGTCATAAATGATTGATGTTGCTGTTGCTGTAATGCTTGTTGCTGTAATGCTTGTTGCTGTTGTTGTTGCTGTTGCTGTTGCTGCATAAATAACATCATGGTCTGCATCTCCGGAGAAGGAGAAACTGCCCCCGGCCTGTTCCTCATCTCAGGATTCTTTGGTAACCTTCTTAGGAGGCATTTCTTTCGTGTGTGTAAGAATTCGTATTCAACTTAAACGGTTCATGCAACCTGGCTTGCTATCCGCAAAACCAAGCTACAACCATAAGTAGGCTTACTTCACCGTTATATCGTGTATATATTGTCTTAATAAAAAAAATGTAATTCTTTTTCTTTGTGTTTTCAAAAAACTCTTATAGCGGGCAGAGACCCCCAAAATGCACAACTATACAAGCAATCAATCGCCTGTGAACGCAATCTCAATGACAGGCACGGAATACGCAAAAAGAAACGCACGAAACATGCCAATACAGTGGAAATAGCACAGTGGAATACAGTGAAAATAGCACCGTGACATGCAAGGCGACACGCCTTACTGTGCCACTTACCGAACGACTATCGTACCTATCTACCGTTAGTTCAGTTGAAAGCTAAGATTGCTACCACACGCGGGCGGAGCACGACTGCAAAAACTCCTCAAACACGACGGAGGTGTTGAGTAAATGAGTACTCGAGTCTGAGCGACAAACACACGGGCTTGACCCTCAGCTGACAGACCTACTGTTTGCTTACAACAGTCTGCTTAACGACATGCATGATGCACGTCAAAAGAACTATGCAGTCTACCATTGTACGCTACGTGCGCCATACAATACATCTATCTTAACTTATCAACGAACACTTCCCGATAACCATACTGGAAGAAGTACTTAGCTGGATGTAGCAGCTTGTCGTCCAGGGCCTCTACTTCACGCGACGAGCCAGGTAACATAATACAATTCACACGACGTACATCCTGTCGACTGCGCCAAAATGTAAGTGTTGATCCTTACACGAACGGTTCTCCTTGTCGTCTGGTGGAATAAAGCACACCGAGTCAACCCCGGGCGGTCCTTATATACGTTCACTGCTGTGGCCTTGTTAAGCTTGCAGTAAATCCCGTGTCGAAGCCTGTATGTGAATCCTGTAGAATGGCTTCGATCCGTATCTGGCGGTGTTGACCCCTTACACTCTCCCCTCCTTCGAAGCATAGTCCCGGCGGAATCTGTAATGCCAACGTACTACACGCACAACACACTATGTACACTTCCAACAGCATTAGGTATGTATTGTTGCTACCATTCCTCATAGCACAACACCAGCTGTTCGCGCATAACTGGCAGGTTCCCGTTTCTTCTGCTGTCGAGTTACGCATCTACTCTGACGTATTTACATTGAATACATTATCCGACCAGCTTCAGCTTATCGATATGACAAACACACTCTTTGTCATTCACATCCGCCAGAATAACGTTCAAGGGTGACGTCATCCGTAATACCGTATAGGGACCCTTGAACCAGGGGGCTAGTTTTGCACTGAAGTTCTTCCGTGCGTCCGACAACGGGTGTGTCTTTAACATAACTCTGGCCCCTGGAGAGATCCTGCTGCCCCGGCGGTGGGTGTCATAATATAACATGGCTTTGGCCGCTGCGGCTTGTTGCTTAACCTTAATCTGCTTGTACAGCAGGTTTGAAGCCATCTCGTCCCCCCAACTGGTGGTCAAAAAAAGTACATAATTTGCACCCTAGACAAATTTCAGCCGGAGTGTGCCCGGTAGTATCATGCTTCGCGGAGTTTAAAGCAAACTGTAAGTCCGACAAATAAATGGATATCCCATGGATAAAATGGATATCCCATGACCTATAATCTCCAGAGACGTACGACTGCAACATAGCCTTAATGTTACGATTTACCCTCTCAACCCAATTCGATTGGGGCCTATACTTGGTGATAAACTTGTGCCGTATCCCCCACCGCTCGCAAACGGCCGCAAAGGCCTTGGAGACAAACTGTGCCCCATTGTCTGAGATCAGCCAACGAGAGGGCCCAAAAATAGAACAGAACTATCTGTCTAGGCTTAACGCCACATTGCTACCGGTCGCCTTCCTTATGGGAATGAGCTGGGACCATTTCAAAAAAGGATCCGTAACCACCAAGATGTACTCGTGCTTACCATACGACAAAGGTAACGGCCCCATTAAGTCAATCGCGGCCTTTTCGCCTGGGTATGACGACTGTGTCGTCTGCATGAAACCTACGGGTCTCTGATACGACGGTTTCACGACCCTACACGTCGGGC